CCTCAGCCTTCCAAGTAGCTGGAACTACAGGTGCGCACTACCACGCCTGGCTAATTTTTTCGATTTATTGTAGAGATGAGGTCTCACCAAGTTGCCCAGGCGGGTCTCGAATCCGCGGGCTCTGGCAATCCACTCACCTCAGCCTCCTAAAGTGCAGGATTACAGGTTGAGCCACAGAGCACGGCTACAACAGCAGCCTTTTAAGCACATTCATTATCTCTACCTTCAACAGATCTCTAGATCTCTGATAGTTTTCTAAATGCTAGTTCTTTCTCTTTTTTTGTTAGCATCTCCATATCTCACAAGAACAAGAGATACCCTTAGCACCTTTGTGGTCTACACTAGAGTCAATTTACTAGTGGCTCTTGACTCTTGGACTACCAAAAAAGGGGCTTGACTTTAGGCTCTGTCTTCAGGAATTCTTACAAAAGTATTCATTCAGATAAGAGCAGACTGCAAAGTGAAAGACAAATTCTCTTCTACCTTTGTTTTGGGCACAATGCCCAAATGCAGCTTTTCATCTACGAGGCAGGCACCAGCTTCGGAGAGGTAACCCTGATTAGGAAGCAGGCAGCCTCTGCCGAAGCAGCAAGGGCAGCAGACCTTATGGACATACTTTGTCCATTTCGGATTCAGCTGACCATAAGGTTCTTCTGATTTGGGTTTAAACACACCAATAATTTTCTATAAGAGAAAAAAGTAGAAATCTTATTAGAGCATTAATATACAGAGATAATCATCCATAAAAGGCATTTTAATAAGTTGTTTTCTACTACTTCTCACTACAGATTTAGGCATAAGCCTTGAATATTAAGAGGTTTAGTTCCAATCACATTTTGAGACACATTCACATTCAACAATCTAAAATCAATCATCTTGGGACCAGTAGTTTTCAGTCTGTGTTCTGACAAACACTAAGGAGGTGAGGCTCCAAAACGCTATGCCATCTAAGCAAATTAGCTTTTATTTCACCTGTTTTATCCTACTAGAATTCCAAGTTAAGAAAGGGCTTCACCCATTTTTCAATGTCAAAAACTGCCACTTGAAGTCAGACAGCATCATTATTCAACATCTTTTAAATATCCAAATTACATGTTTCTTTACTAATTTCCCCACTATAATGTGCATCCCAAAAGAGGCAGGGACTTTACTTGTTAGGACTGCATCTCTAGTACTCAGAACAGTACCTGAGACACAGTAGACATTCACATATTTGTTAAATGGACTAATAAATCCAGTAACGGAAACATAATTCTCTAAAATACAAAGGTCATGGTAATGTATGGTTAACATTTATGCTGTCAGATTCTCCTACCCTAATTTTTTTCAGTTATTTTCATGAACCAATTATATTTACTTATTATTATTATCGTTTGTAGAGACAAGGCCTCACTCTGTCACCCAGGCTGGAGTGCCCTAGGCTGGAGTACAGTGGCATGATAGATCATAGATCACTGCAGCCTCAACCTCCTGGACTCAAGAGATCCTCCTGCTTCAGCTTCCTGAGTCGCTAGGATTATAGGAGCATGCCACCAAATCTGGCTAATTAAAAAAAAATTTTTTTTTTTGTAGAGATGGGTTCTTGCTTTATTTCTCAGGCTGGTCTCAAACTTCTGGCCTCAAATAATCTTCCTCCCTCAGCCTCCCAAAGTACTAGAATTACAGGTGTGAGCCATCATGCCTGGCCATGAACCAATTTTAAATAAACTTCTCTCCTATTAAAAAAGAAAAATTAACTTTGGATGGCCTGAGCCCCACAGGTTCAAGACCAACCTGGGCAACTTGGCAAGACTTCGTCTCTACAATAAATAAGTAAAAAATTAGCCAGGCATGGTAGTGCCCGCCTGTAGTTCCATCTACTTGGAAGGCTGAGGCAGAAGGATTGCTCGAGCCCAGCAGGTTGAGGTTGCG